ATTTAATAGAAGGTTATTGGTACCCAAATAACTATGGTCTGAACTAGAAGAAGCTGTGTTCACTGGCTTTTTGTAATTGGAATATACAGGGTGTTTGGTGAATTGAGTATTAATCAATACAAGAGTTGTGATAAATTGTTGCTTTCAGTTCAAAAACTGTGACAGCAGCTCAAAAAACTTCTTCAATGCGAAGAATTAACTACAAATGTATCTACATATAAAGTACTGTAAGGGTGGGTAATGTAAACGCTAAACGGCGGTTGAAGTGCCGGTTCGGTGACGGTTGACTCAACCCAAAGACAGGGTTCGCTTGAGATTTCAACCAGGAGTTCGAAGCAGTTAGAAGCGTGGTGCACTCCACGATCAAAGAATTTTTAAGGAAGGATGTCAAGAACTCATCATCTGTAATGTCAAGAACATCAATGAATGGGTCGCAAAAAGGTAAAAGTAATGGAATGAGCAGATAAGCAGGATGGACCACCGAAGACTTGCGATAATCGCTCGCGACAAGTCCCCATTGGGACGAAGAGACGCTGGGCGCCCAGGAAACGATGGAGCGACAGCCTCACGCAAGTGAACGATAATTGAGCAGGCGATTCGCCTAAAATCAAGAATGAAGAAGAATAATAATCTAAAAATGATACCGGATGATTTGGCTTAAACTGTTTCGGAATGTTAAGTTCTAAAGGAAAAAACCGAAATACAGTTGAGTCCGGATATAACGAACTTGAAAAATGAACTAAAACTGGTTTGTTATATCCGGAGTTCGCTATAAGCGAATAATAATACAAAAACACGTGGTTTATTTTATTTCGTTATTTTTACATATAGTAAAAGTTAGTAGGTATGACTAAAAAGAACACAAAAAGATAAACAAAATTCAATTTGAAATCTAATTCATAAAGTCTGTAATTTTTGTTTGTACATTTCTGCTGCAAAAATAGATGTTATTTATGCAGTTTTCAAGATCACAAAAGGGCTCCCAGATATGATTAGGAACTTGGCGTGATTGTAGAAAATTCCGAGTTTCTGACACTTTTTTTGTCATTTCAGAAATGGTTGG